ACCAGAACATGACTCAGCAGTATCCGAACAAACAACACTGATCTACATCACACAGATAGCACTTAAAACCAAAGGCCATATAACAACAGCCAGCCTATCAAACAGTCCGAAGTCAGACCATGACTCAGAAGTGACCAAACGAACAACATCTGGAGGTATTTGCGTCACGTAAAAAGTTTTTTAAAGGCCAGTGCCCGGACAGACGAGCACACTTCAAAGCGTATTGACGATGTCTCCTTGGATAGTGACAAAATGTTTGCAACCAAATTGCCAAGCTCAGAGCTCAAACCAGCAGCCCATGAATTCTCTCTTTCGATTTTTTTTTTGCTGCGACAGCACAATGCTGTGTGATAGGAAGGAGCTAACACCTAGTAAGTTTTCAGCATGGAATTGCAATGGTGTTTCCCTACTCCGACTCTGGTTCCTTTACTGCAAATTTATTCTGGCTCTCTCTTAACTCGGAAATAAATCCTCATTTCCTGTTGTGGCACATTGAAAACTATTGGAAATCAAATTAAGGTTCCTTTAATGTGTTATTGTATCCTCTATCTAAACTTCTATCGCTCTCAAAATGCACCACTTTTGCCACCACCTTATATTCCACAATAATTATTTCTGCATCTATATTTTACAACCCAGTTAAAAACTAGAAAACCTCTTACAAATAGATTAAGTGATTTGGCATACTGTTATCCCTAGGCTCCCAGCCTCTCATTTAATATAACCCTGCAAAAGATAATTGCATCTTGTCAAGAGGAAGGCTGGCAGCCTAACACCAATCAACTCTGTATGTTGACAACTGTAAAGGAATTTACATAATAGTGGAAGACGTGCCATTATTTGAGGCGGGGATCTGTGGATTAAGATTATTTTCTTAATCCAGTGTTTATAGTCATTGGGTTAGGAGGCATACACCCAGGCAGAAATATTCATTTTAGTCTGAATCACTCTATGTCCCCAATGCTTAAAGGAAGCAATAGATATTGAATTGTACACCCAAGGGAGGAGCAAAAAGGAAGAAACGAGTATTTTCACATCAACACCAGGGGTGGGTTCCTGCTAGTTCTAACCTCTTCTATAGAAGAGGTTCCACAAATCTACAGTGCCGTGTAGAACCGGTTCCAGATCCCTCCTCCTGCCCATCCGCACATCATCAAGATGAAGAGCGAGAGGAGGAATTCTGGGAGTTGAAGTCCACAAGTCTTAAAGCTGTCAAGTTTGAACACCCCTGGCGTTTTTTTTTCTAAAGGGTTAGGGGTGCAAGGGTCTTGTAACTTGACAGCTTTAAGACTTGTGGACTTCAACTCCCAGAATTCCTCCTCTCGCTCTTCGTCTTGATGATGTGCGG